GTATCAGCTTTCTATGACACGCTTTAGCTGCATACAGCCACGACTTATCTATGTTCAGCGCCATCTAGTTCGTAGAAACGTTAGCTTAAATATCTTCGTGCCATACATATAATTGGCGAACAAATACAACCCACTGGGAAACATTCCTGTGCTCTAGTTTCACATTGAGTGGAGAGATACTAACACTATATGTAGGGATTACCATGCCAGTAACAGCGATTTTGTGATTGCTGGTAGTAACGAGATAAATTGTTGTGGCCAGGTACTTGTAACAGCTCTGTAGGATATGAATTACTACAGTACTAGTAATACAGTACAGTTAGTTACTATTTTACTGTGATCTTCATCGGAGCACTAGATCTCTACAACACCATCTGCAACCTCCAGTTGTTGAATCTCGTTCCTCTTATGCTTCATATATAATTGCATTTCGGCTCGCTCATTGCAGAGCTCATGACAGTACAAAATACGCGCTACTGCAGCACGTTGGACGAGCTTCTACCCAGCCAGACTCGAGCTAATGTGGAGATAGAGGAAAAAACAAATCAGTCAGCGGCTGATATCGATATATTTGCAAAGCGCCTCCATGCTCCAGCAAACAACACCACTGCGTCGTAGTAGATCAATATTCGTGTAGTCATCTTCAGTCCGATTCGAATTATTTTGCAGATTACAGGCATCCATTGAACTCTATACTCGAGCAACTGCACGCGAATCCAAACTCTTGCAATCGCAACCGAGCTATCATATCGCAGAACCGTACAAGTATAAATGAAGCTTACAGTAAGGCGCGAAATTTCGAAGTGTTGCGGGTGATATTATGGTTATTTTGGTTTTTTCCAGTAACTCGATGAAGAAGTCATTTGAAGTCATCTGTAGTGACCACATTGTAAGGGCTCCGTTCAACAACAGAATAATTATGTTAGCAATAAAATTATCACCTAGCTTTAACATCTTCTTGTCTGTAAAGCGTCATTGACGAGTAATCGTGCAATAAACACGTCCATCTCCTTTTGAGTTGGACACCAGAGTTTCTGCGGCACACTTTTTGTTTTGGCTCGGACGCCT